TTTATCTGCCTCTGACTTTGACATCGGCAGCCGTAGTGCTTGCCAGGGTATCGACCCACAGCCTGCCACAGCACTGCCCCTGCCCTGGGCTGCGGTGCGTCGCACCCCGCCATCGCCTGTCCCCCTACAACTGCAGCTGTGCAGGTGCAGGGACATCATTGCCCGGCCTGAGCACTGTAAGGTGCCTGTGGCACTCTGGGGGCTCCACACAAGTGACGCGCACAGGAACACAAGTGCAAGCGCGCAGAAAACACCAGGGCGCAGAGCCCACACATGGCCCTTCAGCAAGAGCCCTGTTTGTCTCGTGGACTTTGGTGGGCTGGGGAGGGGGGTGTTTACAGATACGAACACACAAATCTAGCCTAAAGCCTGGCAGGCACAGGTTTTCACCAGCAAGCTGGCAGAGCGCTGAGGAGCAGAGTGGCCCATGCAGGGCGCTGGCTGTGTTCTGGGCTCGCTCCCGCCAGCGGCTGCCAGCCTCACATGGCCTCGCACCACCCTGGGAAAGGGGGGCTCATCCCCCCGAAATGCCCCCCACCCCTGCCACAGCCCAGCTGCTGACTGCCAAACCGCTGCAGGGCTGACACGTCAGCAGCCGCTGCGCTGGGGAGAGGGGGCTGGGGCTGCCCTCAGCTGCACCAGCTCTTGGCAGCCTGTCTGCCGCATCCCCAGGGAATCCGGTAAGGGCAGGTGCAGAGCCACGACACCCCCACGCACCCCACATTGTGATGGGCACTGCAGGGCCCTGCCCGGGGAAACCTCGGCGCTGGGTCCCCCCACAGCTCCTGCCGCACCAGCTCAGGCAATGCTGGCATTTGGCTTCTCCAGCTTGGCTGTGCCTCTTAAGGGGACGCGGGGCAGTGAAGACACGTTGCAGGCTGAGGGCCGCTTCTCACCACGGCCTCCAATGCCTGTGGTCACAGAACAGAGCCAGGCTGTGAAAGCATTTCCCTGTTTGCCAAGGTCTTTAGTTTTGCTTCACCTGAACGTGACATTATGTGCTTTGCGCACAACTCCCAAGCTTCCCTTAAACTGGTGTGTCTAATTGTTTCACCAAGTTATATGTTGAAGCTCACTCCTTGCCGTGGTGGCACAGGACTCATTAGGTGGGAACACGCTGTGATAACCCTCAAGATTAGTATCTCATCACATGACCAAATGCAGAGCAGGAGCTCTAATTGTCATTTGGGCATAAAGGCCAGAAACACCCGAATGAGCTCTTGCTGATTTCTGGGCAAGGCTGGAGAGGACCATCAGTTGCTATAGGATTATAAAGCTACTAATGCCTGGGCTGCAAAGGCAAACCACAAGCTACAGGGCACCAAGGGAGCCCCGCAGTGCTGGGGTCCTACCACACACCCCATCCCTCCTCCCTGCCCAGCTCTAGTGGGGCTGTTCCAGCTGCTGCAAGGATGTGCTGAAGCAGGGGGGCCCTGGGGAGAGCCCACAACTCTGCCTGGGGCTCGGTGGTGGAAACAGCATTGTCTGAGACAGTTCCTGGAGAGTGCTGCAGGGAGAGCCTTCCTCCAGCGCCACAGCAAGAACCAAGCCCAGGACGGCTGGGCACAGCCAGCCAGCGCTGCGAGGGCCTGGGTGCACAACCCCCACCCCCCCATGCCTGGGGCAGCTACCCCCTGCCTGCAGCCCGGCAGGATCATGGTTACCCAACTGGATCTGCCCGGCCCCAGCCCGCAGATGTGCCAGGGCGAGAAGAGAGTCCTTCAGGAGAGAGCCTGCCTTTGTGCCAGCCCCAGGACCTCTGCAGCCACCACTGAGACCCTCCACCCCAGCGGAGCTGAGCCCAGACCTGGGGCAATACTGCTGCTGAGAAGCGGGTCTGCTCTCCCCAAGACCAGCCGAATTAGATCCTCCCAGGAGGACATCTTCCAACCCGGAACCAAGGACACCAAAAGGAAAAGCATTCCCTGCACTTCCTTTGGGATCGTGTTCCGGTGCTGACCCACCAACTGGAAAAGCACGCTTGCTTTGGGGTTTCCTGGCTGCCCACCTCTGGCGCTGGCCTCGCCCCACATGGCCTCTGCTGCACGGCCACAAGGGCACCTCCTCCAGTGAGGGCACCTGCTCCGGTGAGGGCAGGGCAGGCATCCGGCAGTGCAGGGTTAAAGCACGGCTCTGGCCCCTCCGCTTCCCAAATTCCCCTGCTGCAGGGTGCCGCCGCAGGCCGACTCCCGCAGGCAGACTTCCCGGAAGATAAAACCTCTTCCTTTCTTTTGAGAAGGCGGCACAGGATGGCAGACGTGGCTGCGGTGGTTTGTGACCCAGTTTTACCCAACTTCAAGAGAAGTCTTATCTTCTGTGGCTGGATGCCACAGCAGGGGCAACTCGTGCAAGCCAATCGCTCCCAGCTCTGCCCTCAACTTTCCTCTGTAAAACCTCGCACCCCTCAGAAGCTGACGTGTGCTGACGCAGGCAGCACCTGGCCGCTTACGGAAAACCCCTCATGCCTGCCATGAAGCAGCCACGGCCCTGGCCCTTCCTGACACACACGTCACCACTGTCACCTCACCAGCGCCACTGGGAAGCCCAGGGGCTCCCCCAGCCCCATGCCGCAGCATGGCAGGAGGGCCCTGCTGCATCAGGAGCAGCCCTGCCTCCCGGTGCCAGCCGTCCCGAGGCCTGCGGTGGGACACATGGCTGCGCAGGAGCCGCTCGTCCTCACTGCCTGGGAGATGGGGAGCCAGGCGGCAGCGCTGGGGCTTGGTGGGGCTGGCTGTCAGTGGGCAGAGCAGCAGGGCCAGGGCTTGGCTCCTGCTGGCAGAGGCAGCGGCCGGGCCTGCCCAGCTCCAGCTCTGCCCCGAGAGCAGCGGTGTGGGCAGCGGGTGCAGCGCAGACCCACTGGCGGCTCTGCCACCGGGCTGTGCTGTGCACTGAGGGAGCAGCGCTTTTCCCAGGCTGTGCCAGGAGGAATTTGACAACCCTGCCAAGCGCAGGATGCATCCCACAGCCCGGCAAAGCCCCGTGGGAGTTAGGATGATGGTGCCACCAAGACACCGAGCGCTTGCCGTCCAGATGGCTGTACCAGCAGTGGCCAGCTCAGCTTCCACGGTTCGCCACTTCTACCCCAGCCCCGCACGGAGGGGGAAGGCGCAGGGGTCGCAGCAGGGGACGATCCCCTCCCTGCCCGTGGGTCGGCTGGCAGCTGGGGAGGCACCGCGACCCTCGGTGGCTGGGTCCCCTCCCAACACGCAGTGCTGTGCTTCCCGTAGAGCAAGCACCCAGGGTAAACGCTTCCATACCCCAGAGGGCAGCAACAGGCGACGGCCGGGGCTCTAAAGTCAGCACCCCCGGCCGCCACGGCACCGGTCAGCCGTGGCCGGAGGCCCCTGGCGAGTCACGCCCCACGTGGGAGACTGGGGTTGGAGCCAGGCCGCTCCGGCTGGCCAGTGGGAACCCTGCCCCGGTGCTGCCCCGCCGCCCGAAGGGACCCTGCGTGCGACTGGCACGCGACGGCCTTTCCCTCTGGCCGCGGCTCTGCCGGCGCCTCGCCTTAACGCCTCGGCGGACGGTGGAAGAACGGCACTGTTGCATAAGGGAGAGGAACCTCCCCTGGCCGGGGCCGGAGCCCGGAGCGCCCGGCCGTCCCCGAGCGCCCGGGGGGCACCTACCCGCACCCCTGCCCG